AAGCCATCCATGCCAAACAACACTATAACGTTATCATACAGAAAAATATCAGAAAATGAAGTTCTTGGGTATACAATTAAAATATGGGATACTGAAAAGGATTCTATAAGAGTTTTTGTTAATATTATTTATTATAAATCCAATAATCAACTCTCAATTAAGTCAGCCAGCAAGTATTGAGAAGGAAGGAAAATGACAAAATTTATTCGAAAGTTTGCATTAAATTTCAATCCACGTACCGATACAAGTATAGAATTATAACCTCGCTTATTGTCTGGCATTATAAATATTCGCTACACATTATTACCTTCTTACTAAATATAACCAAATGTGAAACAAATATTTAAACTAACTGTTTGTGAAATACTACATTTATAGTGCTCGATGGATTTCAAATATATCTGTAACAAAATTAAATTTACTTCTATTTATTTATGAAATTTATTTATGACACGTATAAAAATGAAGATAATACAGTGGAACCTCGGTATACATCTGCTTTAGAAAACGTCCAATTCGGAATACGTCCTGTTTGGACGAAATAAATTTTGCTCGGTATACGACTTTTGTTCGGTATACGACTTAATTATATGCGCCATCTATCAACAAGTAGCACTTTCGGTGTACTACACTAGACTAGACGTTCGCGGTGCTACGGTTTATAACTTTGTTAAATTTCTTCTGATTTTAATTTGTAAGTAACATTTTATTATTTTTATTAATCATGAATTGCAAAAGGGCAACAGAAAAATAAAAAAATGACTAGAATCACAACGGAACTGAAAAAAGAGATTGTTGAGAAATATGAAGGTGGCACGCGTGTTCGAGATTTAACTGTTGCATTCCGTATTCCGAGAACGACGATATCGACAATCGTGAAAAATAAAGACATTATTAAATTTGCTAACGTTGCGAAAGGGGTTAAATCAATTTCTAAACAGAGATCGAAGACATTAGATCATGTCGAGAAATTGCTTTTGCTTTGGATAACTGAAAAACAGTGTGCCGGCGACAGCGTATCGGAAGAAATTATTTGCGAGAAAGTTAAAAGGATACATGCTGATCTCATGAAAAATCAAGCAGAAACTAGCCAGGAAAGCGGGGTGTTTAAAGCCAGCCATTTTTTTACATGAGAACGGATTAATCATTTTTACATTACTTCTTATGGAAAAGGTTAGTTTGGTATACGTCCTATTCGGTATAAGTCCAAACACCAGGAACGGATTAAGGTCGTATACCGAGGTTCCACTGTAATACGTAATACTCTTGTAAATGCCAGTAACCAACACCTTATTAATTGCTGAGGGATTTTATTAAAAACGAATATTTTCGATTTACTCAATAGATCATCTTCAAATTAGAACATTCAAAAATGGAATACGAAATAAAAATGGAACATCACTTTCAAAATTCAAAAACCGATAACATGTCAACTAAAAATAATAAATCTATACATGATACATAAAATGTAAAAATAAATAATATACTACTATAGTTAAACATTAGTACAATTAATCATAACCAAATAGAAGTTACTAAATTTCCTTGGATCGTATTTCGGTTCACGAGCTACTTGCAAGCTTTTTAAAGGCAAACTTCCAAGCTAAGGGAAGACCCTCAGCGTCTCGGGCATTAATCCATCTTTCATCAAGTTTGCTTCTGTATATTTCCATTTTTTCGGCAGTTTTCGATAAAGTTGGAGGGTGTACTTGTCTGACGACTTCCGCTTCCTTTCAGCCAACCACAGATCCTTAGACTTGAGCCATCTGGGCCAATATCGTTGTGTTAAATCCTTTTCTAACATCATACTTATCTTCTCCGATCCTTACCCCGACGTTTCTCGTTGTAACTCCTACGTAATCCTTTTTTATCCCTAACTGTTGGTTCTCGTAGGGGTTCCTATAAACTGCTTTATCTTCTTTTTTAATATCCCCTTTATCATTTCTTAAAAACTTGTACAGATTTGGAGCTCTTTTTAATACCAATGTAGAATTTTTAAAGCCCGCAATATCCTTCATGACGCCTCCTAAATATTTGCTGAATGTAAACTTCGTGTACTTAGTAGGACCCTGTCTGGAGACATTTTTATCGCTTGCCTCAAATTTTCTAACAATACCAGCAATTATGCTTCTCTTATATCCTAAGGTTTCTGCTATCTGCATAATCCTTTCGATCTCTTTAACTCGATCAATAACGTTATCGCAGTATAGATACGCCTTTCTAACCAAGGCACGAAAGGCTGCTACTTTATAACGATACGGGTCATAGGGCCTTGCCGGGATGAATTGTGTGGGCTATGCGTTGGTTTTGTGAACACACTAGTGGATACATGCCCTTTCCTAAAGACGATGTTAATATCCAAGAAATGTATCTTTGTGGAACTATTCTGCTCTAGCTTCAGGTTGAGGCCGTCTTTGTTCTCGTTGGTTCTTTCTATGAAATTACTAATTTTTTGATTGCTTCTCCATATTACAAAGATATCACCCACATATCTCTTGTAGTAAACAATGTCATTTCTGAAGATAAGCATCACTTTTTCTTCGACTTTTCTAACTACAAACTCGCATAGAAGCCCCGAAATCGAGATTCCCATATTCCCCTGTTTTGTTTATATGTTTGGTCTTCGAAAGCGAAAAAGGATTCACAACATACAAGGTTAGCCATCTCTATAACATCGTTTCTTTGATGCCCCAATGTTGGGTTTTCTCTAACCAAGAAGTCTAATAGTGATTCCAAACAAGATTCAATTTTAATAGAGGGGTACAAGCTCTCGTAATCAAATATTGTTCTCACTTCCTCATCCATCAAAGTAATCTTTTGCTGCTCTCTAACCACCATTGCAAGATCTTTTGCAACCAATATAGTACTTTCCAGTAGGGAGGAGATGTATCCATGCAACCTTTTTTCTAAGAAAAATGTAGGTGCTTTTTATAAATTATCTTTATGTTTTTTCGCTATTGGCCTTATTTCCTTGCTCTCTCTATGCGTTTTAGCGAAGGCAAATAGTCTAGGGTCCCAGGCCTGGGGTTACGGCCTTTCTGGATAAAAGATAAAACCTTCGCAAACTTGGATCCTTCCAGTTTCTTGACTCTTAAAAATATTTAGAAATTACATGGCGCATATAATATCTTGGGAAAAGGATATTTCTGTGAGCTTTAATACGGATTAAGTTTTATTTCATACTTGTGCTGGCCCACGGTGTAGGCACTTTTCGCAAAAGTTTTAAGAACATTCGAATAGTAAAGTTAGATGTACTGTTACTTGTAATAAAATTGTACATAATAACGCTTTCTATATCGCTGAGAATATCTCGTAAAACATTAAATTATCTTTAAATATTGTTGATTTTATTCAACAATATGAATAAAAATATAAATAAATAAGAAAGAGTTAATTTTTTAATGGCATGATTATAAGTTATCATTACTTGACTAAAATCTACCAAAGTTACCAAGAGCGTTGATTTTTATAAGTGCATATTATGTTTCAAACACTAAAAATGTCATAATTATGTTAAATTCAACTTTCATACATCATCACAAAAACACCTCTTAATATTAAATTCTAATACTGTACATTAAGTATTATTAATGGTAAAAAAACGTCGTTTTTGATTTGCTGTACTTATTTATTCCCTGTTTTATGCAACTCCTTTATGTCCAAGATTTAAATAATTATAAATAAATACAATTATAACAATAGTTATTTCTAACATACCTTTCTGAATTTCAGTTGTTTCTTTTTGAGCAAATAGTTTCCTATTAATAAGCCCGAACAATAAGAACTCATGTGCGAAAAATAAGGTTTCATATAGACATTTACCATGAAATTGTTATATTTTCTGTAAAAAATTCACAATACAAAACAATTTTAATGTAACAAATATTTTCACATCAATACGTACTGCAAGCAAATATACATTGCCTACACTGTATAAGTATGTAAACTTAATGTATCAATAATATACTCCTGTATCATTTCAATTATCATCAAGAAGACATTACTTTAAAAATTTCTGAAATAATCAATATTCAACAAAATAATTAAGTAAAATTTTATAATAATTTTAATTTATGAATTACTATTTTAATTATAATACATATCTTATATAAAGCAATGTGTATTATATTAAAAAAGCTTAATTAATTTATTTGTTTTATCAAATTATATAACACTGTCTACGAGTGTGGCAAACACATATCAGCTTGTTAAAAATTAAAAATATTTCAACTGAAATTGCTGGAAATGTGTACTTCATAAAAATGTACACCATCTTTAATTTTTCAGTACAATTTTATATTGCAGCATGTTTTGTAAAAAGAAATAATTAAACATCATTTAAATAATTGGTTTAATACACCGGAATAAAATAGAATAGGAGAGATCCTTGTATTTTGTGCCACTTTTCTTTAAATCTTCATAATTTAAGTTCAAAATGATCTTTAGCTATGACTATTGAATATTTCTATTAGTAATTGATAACATCACTATATGCGGTGAAAAACGTGAACCTATGCTATTTTATTTATGAGAAAATGTCAAATAATTACATACAGATATTTGTCCCAAGGTTTAATCATGGATTGTACTTCGGGACACCAATATTTGTTCCTTGGGACACGAACCAATTCCAACGTTTTTGTAAATCTTAACTTCTGCCAAATGAAAAAAAGATAGTTTATCCAAGTCTTTTCCTTTATAACAACATTAGCTCTATCAGTTAACAAAAATGTTTCATATGCTAAAAAATGCAGGTAAGTATGAAGTAATAAACAAAACACCTTTTTTGCCGAGAAATAAATATAATTTGCAAAAACAAACGTTTTCAGCCTAGTTAATAGGCCATCTTCAGGTCGAAAAAATGGAACGCAAATGTTCCATAAATAGAACATAAAAATATTTAAATCAAAAAATTTTACAAGTAAAAAATAACGGAAGAATAAATAAACAAATAAATTAATTAATTAATTAAAACAGAAATAACATAAATCTTCAATGGATTAATTCTGGTCGAAGTTTCTAGTATATTTCTTAACCAAATATTTCCATGCCGATGGTAGGCTCTCCGCATCTCTCGCATTTAAACAGCCTTCCCCTATCCTACTTCTGTATATTTCAATTTTCTCCGCCGTCATTGCTAGAGTTGGGGAAGACAGAGGCTTGATGATTGTTGCCTCATCCCATTTAACCTCAGAGCCTTGCGCTTGCGCCATTTGTGACAATATCGTTGAATTAGATGCTTTTCTTATGGCGTATCTATGTTCTTTGAGCCTTACTCCCAAGTTTCTGGTAGTGACGCCGATATAATCTTTTTTAACATCCAGTTGTAGGTTTTCATAAGGAATCTTATACACCCCTGCTTTTTCTTCCACTTTGATACTATCCTTATCATTTCTCAAGATCTTATACAAATTAGGGGCTCTTCTTAATACCATTCTTGATTCCTTTCGACTAGCAATTTCTTTCATTACACTATTCATACTACTATTATAAGTAAACTTTGTGATCCTAGTAGGAACATTCCTTAAATCTCTTTTTACTATGCCCCTTTCATACTTCTTAAGCATTCCTACAACTATATTTTTTCTGTAACCCAGGGTCCGGGCCACCTGCAATATTCTATCAATCTCCTTCTCTCTGTCAGCGACTCGGTCACAATATAAATAGGCTCTCCTTATTAACGCTCGGAAGGCTGCCATCTTATACCGATATGGATCCATGGATTGAGATGGAATATATAAAGGGGCGTGTGTAGGTTTAATATAAACACTTGTGGACAAATGCCCTTTCATAAACCGGATATTAATGTCCAAGAAGTGCACACTCAAGGAACTCTTCTGTTCTAATCTCAATTTAAGCCCATCATCGTTATCATTAATTCTACTCATAAATTCATGCACCCTACTATTATTTTTCCATAAAATAAGGATGTCGTCCACATATCTGCTGAAATATACAATATCTTCCTTGAAACTATGAAGTACCCGTCTTTCTATTCTTCTGACAACTAATTCGCAAAGGATTCCTGAGAGGGGACTTCCCATCGGAACCCCTCTTTTTTGCCTGTAGACCTGACCACAAAATGCGAAGCATGACTCATAGCATACCAGTTTAGCCATTTCTTCTAGCTCTTGGGTGTAAAGAAGCAATTGGGAGTTCTTTATGTACAAGAAATCCAATAACGCATCCACGCAAGACTCAATCATTACTGAAGGATACATGCTTTCATAATCTGAAACGGTCGCTACCTCATCTTCCATTAAAGATATACCTTGTATTTCTTTGACAACAATAAGAGGATCCTGTGCCACTAGACTATCACCATCAAGATGTGAGGATAAATATTCGTGCAGCCTTTTTTCTAATATAAAGGTGGGTCCTCTGCATTTCTCTACAACTGGCCTTAACTCCATTCCGGTCTTGTGGGTTTTAGCGAAAGCAAACAATCTTGGAGTTCCGGGCCTTGGGTTCCAGCATTTCTTGAGAAAAGGTAAAACAGCAGAAAGCCCCGAGCGTTCCAGCCTCCTGACTCTTCTGTCCAATGTTCCAACTATCTTGTCGCCAACAATTTCACATTCCGTCTTTCCGATGTAACTAAGCAACTCCTTGTTATAAGTATGCCTTCTCATGATAACCAAATGCTTAGTCTTGTCTGCTCTTGTCAACACAAGATCATTAATCCTTAACCACTCCTTCGTGAGCCAAATGTCCCTACTAGTAATACCATCCGTCCTGTTCTTCGGCCGTTTGTTAATGACCGCTTTCCATCTAAAATATTCCTTTTCTAATGCATCCAGTCCAACAATCCCTCTCTCAATCTCCTGTACTGACGTTTCCCAACCACCTACTTCAGTGGGGACAAAGTTCGGGCCTTTCTCCAGAACCTGCTTGATTTTCTTTGGTATTACTATCTGGTCCCATACATAGAAAGTACTAAGGTTCTTCCTATTATCTCTTCTTACTTGCTTATGAATAATCCATTTCAACTTTTTGACATACTGCTTATTGGAACTCCTACAAACAGCTTCCGCCAATTCCACCACCCTTTTATTGATATCAATCAGTTTGGCCGGATCTTCATTATATATGGTGTCCTCCAAGCGAATAAGCTCACTCAATATCCCATACTTTTTGTTTTTTGCTATTCTAATAGACTTTTTGAGGCACGCCATACAGAACCTACTTTTTAGAGAACGGCATTCCTTAGGGATGCTAATTCGGTAAATCGACATGGGATACACCTTATTATTTAAACATTCTTTTAAAAATTCTAATTTACAACTAGCTTTAACCAGCTTTAACGCCAACTTCCTATACCTCTTGTAATTCTCCACCGGTGCCGCCATAACAACAATATCAAAAGCGCTCAGCAACTAAATAATAATAAACAAAACACCTTTTTTTGCCGAGAAATAAATATAATTTGCAAAAACAAACGTTTTCAGCCTAGTTAATAGGCCATCTTCAGGTCGAAAAACTGGGATGAGGCAACAATCATCAAGCCTCTGTCTTCCCCAACTCTAGCAATGACGGCGGAGAAAATAGATAGTATAGGATAGGGGAAGGCTGTTTAAATGCGAGAGATGAGGAGAGCCTACCATCGGCATGGAAATATTTGGTTAAGAAATATACTAGAAACTTTGACCAGAATTAATCCATTGTAGATTTATGTTAATTTTGTTTTAATGTGGGGATTTTGTGACAGAAGCCATTTTGAATTCAGTGGAAAGAGGGAGCTGATGACAGTTGGGAAGGGAATCTCATGTAGGCTAATTTATGGTTTTGAGAAACTGTACAAGAGCCTAAAGTCACATAAGTCAAAGTATAAGTTACTATTTAAGCAATTAATGTTATTTAGCTAAGATTTTGTGTTGCACCTTATATCATTTTATATAGAAAATCATTTTGACCATGTTGACTGGACTTTGAGCATTTAAAGAAATAATGTTGAGTTTGAGAATAAGTCCCTTCTGATTAAGCACATTTTATTACTTGCCCAGGGCAAAACTCTGTGGTCTGTGAATAATAATTGTTTTTGGTTTAGATCATTGTGTTTAATATATCTATTAAAGCTGGATATCCCTATCTCATCTATTCTAATATAAAAAAATACTCATAAAAAATGANTAATTAATTTATTTATTTGTTTATTTATTCTTCCGTTATTTTTCTCTTGTAAAATTTTTGATTTAAATAATTTTTATGTTCTATTTATGGAACATTTGCGTTCCATTTTTTCGACCTGAAGATGGCCTATTAACTAGGCTGAAAACGTTTGTTTTTGCAAATTATATTTATTTCTCGGCAAAAAAGGTGTTTTGTTTATTATTATTTAGTTGCTGAGCGCTTTTGATATTGGTAAGTATGAAGCTTATATGTTCTGTAGAAGGCATTTAAATGATTGAAAACCAAAGATAATCTCATTTTTGTATTAAGAAAAACAATAGTCATTACACATATAGGTCACAAACATTACTACTTACTAATTTTTTTAGAATTAATACCACATTTCTCACAGTAATTTTCAAAAAAGGTGCAATCTTCGTGCATTCAGAATCGACAGGTAACGCATTGAATCCAGTCTGCGGTGCTCGAAGTAGTAAAATAATTTTAATCGCACCCCACACAATTATTTTCCTCTTGAACTTCATCACATGAATCGTCACTCTCTAAGATCACAGAAGTTTCATCCTCAGAGCTGCTGACTTCAACTTTTTTCTTCTTAACAACGCGCTTTTTAAAAGATTTAGCATTTTTATTCACTTCATTCTTTTTCTTCGCGGCCAACAGAAACATAATAACAAAAGTAAACAAAATAGCATTAAGTAAATAGTTGAGAAGAGAATGCCTTGAATTTTGGGACAGTCCCAAGGTACAAAAAATTCACTGTCCCAAGGTACAATTTTCTCTTGTTTATAACAAAGTATGGTTATAATTTTTGAATTACAGAAATCCAATGTTATTTATTAAAATAAGTGGTTACGAATGTAGTTATCAACTAACTGTACCTTAGTTAAATTAATCATCTCAAAACATTTCGATTAAAACCAAGATCCGAATGGATTTCAAAAAAACAAACACCTGTAAAAATCACACGACGTGTCACAGTGGTGAAACGAGTCAAAATGACCATCATGCATTCTGAATGTTGTAATTAAATAGCTACTAGATATCGCTACTTACTACTTTTCAATGTATTATTTTTCAAATGACAAGCTTGTCGGAAGTACAAGGATCTCCCCTATATGAGTGCAAAGGTTTTCTTATTACAGATAGCCTGATTCACTCTAATATCACTTTGCATGGTTAGAAGATAACAACCAACGTCGTTATGCGCGTAACCAAAAATTAACCGTAAGACACGGATAAGATTATAACGCTGCATCTGGACTTAATTAATATTAAAAATTTAGATATAAAATAATTTTTTTAGATAAACTAGCTTTATGATTCCAGACATTATGCAATAAATAAGACGACCTGTCTGACATATTCTTTGCCTCCACATTAAGAAATTTTTATTACTTATTCACACAGCACAGTGTCACTTATTTCATTAACTGCACCAATTTGATTATATTTAATGAAAATATTTAATTTACAAAACGTACTCGAGATCTATTGCTAAATTCAAGATCGTGACGTATTTCTTATGTAGTGAATAACAAACGTGTGAGACGATTCCTGCCACAATCAATATACATAGTAATATTGTTCCAAATGTTGGCCATCTGCAATAAAAAGAATTAAAATATAAATGTACTAAAACAATATTTTTAATAATTTTAATTAAGTAAAATTATTTACAGTTTATTTTTGATAGAACAATAACTAAACTGCATACGTGAATTTATATCATTAGTAGTAATTCAATATACTGTGGGGTATATATTATTTTAACCATAAGATTTCGTGTAAAGCTCTGATACACTTTGGTGTATATTTTTTAAGATATACGATTCGTTTTAATTGTTTTCTTTAAATATATTTTTTCTCATATCACCACGAACATTACAAATATTATGAAGTACATTAATTAATAAGCTATGGGAATTATCAACAACATATTTTAAAACATAACACCAACACAGATGATTTTTGAAACCATGAATGAAATTTTCGTTCAGTATTTGATAACAGGAAACTAAATTCCAATGGAAATAATTTTTCAGCTCACGTAGAGTGTTGTTTTTTAATCGTTGACATTTTAAAACTATTCTCATATCTAATTTACCTACATACTTCTTAACAATTTTATCTGTGACAATTTGAAATTTTTTCGATATTTTATTCCAAACAAGATACAGTATTTTGAAAAATGATTAATGAATTATTTGTTTAATTCTCTAATAATTGATATTCTGAAACAAAGTTTAATTTTGCGTGGTCTAATATGTTTTTCAATAAATGAAGTACATAAATGCTAAGCTCCAGGGGCTTATCATTTATATAAGCCCGAAATGCATATGTGAAAACAATAAAAGAAGTGTCTAACCTGAAAGCTGTAATGATAGTCTACCGAACTTAATTTCGGATTAGAGATATACATTCATAGTACTGAATAAAGATTTCATACACGATTTTAAAAATCAATTTTTTAGTATAACGCTAAGAAAATTGGTTTTGAAATATCAAAAAGTAAATGAGAAATATGTCGTTGATAATTCGCATAGTTTACTTCACAAACTGCTTCAGTCTTTCAAATGATAAAATACTGGAACTTGTTATATAAAGATATTCAAGAGATAAGTAACAAGAAGAAATTCAACTTAAATATGAGAAAATTCCTCAGCCAGATCTTTAAAGTAAAAACGTTTTAACTGAAAAACCAGCCATTGTAAAGGTCGAAGACTTTTTCTTGCATACTTAAAATTAAAAATATAATAAAACGATAATTAATATACAACAAAAAAGAGGAAAAATGTAGGAAGAGAGGAAGTAAATTTTCCAAGGATTTTGACTACAACTGATAAATTATGCTTTTCTGTTTTAGTGAAGTCAAATTTTTCTTAGCTATTGATGCATTGGTTTTTTTGTGATTTTCATATGCTTTTTGTTCCACTGTTGTTTGTTTATTTTGTATTTTTGTGGCACTTGGAAAAAGCCCACAGTGCGTCGAATCACTTCTACTTATTAGAAACTGTTATTGAACACAATGTATTTAAATTCAACTGAAGTAATTATATATTCAGAAATACTTTTGTATATATTTGTTGATTATTCGTTATATGTTCATATGTTATATTATAAAAATATATTCTTATCATAACATGTATTTACACTTATGCAGAATTATAGATAATGTATATAAATCTCTACGAAAAGGTGTCTTTTATTGCTATATCAAATGTTCAGTAATTATTTATAATTAGGCATAAAATACAACTATATGTTATTATGATTTTAAATTTAAAATCAATACATTTATATAATGTTCAAAAAACATAATATTGAATATCAAAAATATACTCATTATTTATCATATAAATATTATTTCAAAAATAATTAATTTGTTAGAAATTTCGAAATATAACCTTCATAAATTAAAATGTTTAAGTATTTTATGTCGATTTCAATATTTTGGTAGTTTTAATAAATTAACTTTTTCCGTTGGAATATCATCGGGCTGCAATTTGAAAAACATTGTAGACATATAAATTTCCACTGACATGACATTCCTTCCAGAATCTCTATACCAGAGTTACACAGGTAAAAATCGTGAAAAATTGGAATATCTATGTGCAGAAGGCCCCAATTAACTGTATGTGAGCTTTTGATGGAAATATAAAGTCATATGATTTAAATTCAAAAATTTTTTCTAAAAGGAGACATCACTTGAGTTCCTAACTGAAAGTACAGGGGTAGGCACTATTAATTTGAAGTCGAGTGCATATATTAAAAATTAAATAAATTTTAAAAATAACTAAAAATTACAGTATAGATTGTGGATATATATTTATTTTGGAACCCATTTTGTTTTAGGCGAACACAATATTTAATAAAAATTTCATTAAATTCTGTTATATGCACTCTCCTCTCTCCTATTACAAAGCAAGAGCATTGCTTCTTTGATCCCACTGTACCGTGAAAATGAGGTCATTAACCACAATTCTTTATTACATTTTTGAATTATTTTTATCGTAAATAATGGAAGACAGCAGACTTTATCGAAATCGATGGTAGAAATTTGAGATCGAATGCAATTCTCTTTAGCCGTGGTTTTCAATCTTTTTCAAGTTGAGGAACACTAAACTTTTACATTTTTTCCGCAGAATACTTGAAGTGGATTCACAGAGCACCCATGTTCCGCGAACCACGGACTGAAAACGACTGCTCTATGCTATATACAATAAGCTTTGATTACGCTCCACTTCAAAACTCTTTTGTAAGATTAAGAATGTAAATAGAAATGCATTTCTTTGTGAACACATTGAACAGATTAATAAAAACCATGTGAAATAGTTTTAATTTGTTTAAAGTTTAACAATTTTTAGTTATTTGATAACCTAGACGACAATCAATTAACAAATATATTTTGTGATTATAAGTACTTTTAAATTAAGTGAACAAATGTAAAACAAAAATTATGAAAGTAAATTGAGTGAGAATTTAAATAATCATCGCTTTTTCTTCTTTGGGGTAAAATGATACATAGAACCAAGATTGTGTATATTTTATGAAAATTGAGACAAATTAAAAATTAACTAATACCATAAATATGAAATATTCAAAAATAATATGAAATTATAAAGATATAATAATTCTTACCTGACATGAATGTATAACAAAGGAACTGTGATTACAGTTAATTGCATCAATACGTTAAAAAACCAAGTGTATAAGGTAAACTGTAAATACAAATGAATTTTCAGATATACTTAAATAGCATTTTAATTGCATTAAAGAATATTAAACAATTTACAGTTGATTTAATGTTGCCTAAATTTATAACATGAAGAATGTATCTCCACCAGTGTTGTTCAACTCTTTGTGCTTCTTCGTATACGAGATCCCAGTGTGGTCCTTCGCCACAAATTGGCAAAATTATGAAGAAAGCCAATATGAAAAGCAAAGGAATAGTCAATCTAATAGAAAATGGAAAATATACTAATAATATTTAACGTTTAATTTTATTAAATGAAATTAAAAAGTTAAATTATAATTAACCTTGTGTATCGCTTGATAAAAAATAAAGTAATATGATATAGAGTTTTCTTCATCGTTTCTACGTAGATAGAATGTTAAAAATGCGCTGTACAAAATTGAAAAATATTTTTATTAATTTACATTTCATTATAAGCATAATATTTAAATTAATTTAATTATTATTTAACAACTCAAAATTAGTTAAATTTTAAAATAAATTACGAAATAATTATACTATATATTGTAAACTACGAAGCAAAATTTATGAACCTACCTCAAAAAAAAGAATATTTGCAGAATATATTGTCCTTGGGATACAATTTCTATAGTAACATCATCAGTTATATTTACAAAGTTTATTATTCTTTCTAAAATGCAAACAAAGAACAAATAATCAGTTCGGATGTTCCAATATTTCTCGGATATAAAAATTATTTATTTATTTAATGCTGTAAATTTACTTCATACATATTCACGAAGTATTGAGAAGTTATTTGTAATATAAGAAAATCCAGCAGCGAGTTGCATAACTTTCGCGGCAACAATAAAACACGTCTGTGACGCCATCCGTTATGATATTTTATATAAAACATCTTTACATTTTTATTTATTATAAAACGGCTAAGAGCTTAATTTTCAGGGTAAGCAAGAGTTTATAAAAAAATTGTAACAAGTAATACTGTCGTTGAGAACGACTCTACTCGAGGTATGACACACGGCCACCTTTTTATATCTGCTTTCCTCGACTTCTAAACACAAAAATTTAGCAGTGTCAATCTCCAACTGTACAAAAATTCTTACAAAGTTTTAAGAAATTTTCGATAAAAAGTACAAGAGATATTAAGTTTCAAAGAGACTGAAGAAATTCGTGCCCCCACACACTTATTAACACCCATACATACAGAAAAAAACCTGTGAATTTCTTTTGCACAATTTGTGAACAATTAAATATCTTCTAAGTCCAAAAAATGCAAAGTCTAGAAGAGGGTTATTTTTTGACTGATTTTCATACTTTTTTTCTGTTATATATATAACACCTCCAAAAAAGTAACTATATACACCATAATATGAATGAAAGACAGATGAATCAGTAATAAATATATTTTACAAAGATATTTTGTATAAAGTAAATTTAACAAATTATTCACGTTAATTTTGTATACATAATTAATGTATCAAATTTTAATTTAAATAAATTTAAGTTGTTAAAAATTTTTTCCTTTCGAGTTATGAAAAATAAACAGATTGGAAAATGGAAAAAAAAAAACACGGTATTAGATCTGTTTAGTCGATTTTTATGAACAATCGAATGTACTTTATTTTCAGGACGTGAAGACCTTAAAAGTTGTAGTTTGCGATGTATTTGGTGTTGTGTGTCGTCGAGCACTAACATTGTCATTGTCACCTCTGATTTTTACGACACAACATTTGTGAACATATCTATTTATGTCGGTGTGCACTGGCATAAAATTTCGAAATACGTGGTATGAGAAAAAATACCTACAAAGAAGTGAATAGTGTTCGAAATATTTTACGCCTCATCTGCATCAGCTCTACAGACTTCAAAGCAGTCCACGACTTTGATGTGAAATGGCCAATAATGTCAATGTTGTCATTCTCTGAATCTGACATTTTTGTTTCTCCCTGATGTCATCTGACTTCAATGCATCACCCTCAGTGACGACTACGGACTTAGAAATGCAAGTCTTTCTGAACGACTTTTTGATGAACAAACCACAAATACTCTTCTAAACGGAAAATGCAACTTGAGAATTTGTAGGGTTTTTTATCTTCGACCTTCTTAGTTTCCGTCAATTCTCGGCTTTTGTCGGAAAGCCATTCGTCATAAGATCTGGAGTTATTTCTGTAAAACCTGTTTATGCCGACATGAAAAGGCTGAAAAATAGGAGTCGTTCTCCAAAAATCTGGAAGAGCTGGGTTTTCAGTTTACGTTATTTGTTTCTTATGTCAACCGTCACGTGTCCTTTCAATAAGTTTAAGGAAAAAATCAATAAGTGATATAGAAGTGTGCCAAGACATCATATCCAAACATTTCAGGCAGTCGAACATTAATTCTTCTGTCATTCATATATTAGCCTTGGATGATACAAAGATGTTGGAAGAAAAAATATGCTTATTAGTAGAGTTGTTAAGACAAATACTTATTCTTTCAGATGGCGGACTGTTCTTTTCATGTTTCTCACTGAACTTCCGTCCTCGATGAATCGTCACGTACAGAGATTTTTTAAACGTTGATGTAGATTTCAGATCTCTGGATAAAGAGATCTCAAATTTAACAGTTCGTTATTAACATTACCCAAAATGGTTGAAAGATTTTTTATTTTGAATCCTAGAGAAACTGTTTCATCAGAATTCTGGAATATTTCGTTGACTATATCCAACAGCTTGTTTCATTCTTTCGAAAATTTTGGTTGTTTACTAGCATTATTTTATACACTGGTTCTGATTTCATTAAATGTTTTTAAGTTCGTATTTAGCATTACATTGGTTGATGCAGTTGTAATTATATGGCGATGCATTTTCCTCTTTTTCGCAATCGTTAGTATGTTCATCCTTAGTTCCCTAGAAAATTTTGTTTTTCTTTCCTGGTTCTATTTTTGCATTTTCACATAGAAAGTTTGTTATTACTCATAGTTTTCTCGTCGTTTATATTGATCATTATTGTTTTCATTATTTTCACTTTTTAACTTTTTCGGTAAATGATTATTCAGTTGATTCTCGTTCATTTTGTTCTTAACCAATTTTAACTATGTGTTCATTCATCAGGGATTTTTAAATGTTTTGTCTTTCATATGTTCTTTCCTTTTATTCTTTACAATTGTTTCTATTACTTATAAATAATCTATCTTTATTAACACTTTTTTTTCAATTGTGCATCAAAAGACACGTTCTTCTCATATGTCGAAATATATTACATCATCTTACTTGTATGGTTTTATTAAACTTATTTACATTTTTCTACAAAGTAGTTGTTTAGTATTAAAAATTTTACTGCATTTTCCATTTTATATTAATATTTTATATTTCTTTTAATCTTTTTCTCGGTCATATTTTACCTTGGTTATAAAAATTCTATTTGATTTACTCGGATAATACTAGTTACTATTCTAGAGGATTTATGAAGCTGTTTTACTGTTATAACTGCTACTTAATTATTTTTGATTATATTACTTACAGCCGTTAATTGCTAAGGTATGCCTTCCATTATTTTCATTCACTACAAAGATATATATGATTTTTCTAAAAAGATTTCTGTTATTACTCCATCATTTTTATTGTATTTATATCATTTTTTGTGTATATTGGTTGTCTACCATCTACCATTTTTCGTTTCTGATTAAGCAATAACTTGAAAATCCTATGACGTACGTGGTATCAGTGTCATTTAAATGTCTTTCCATATCTTGAGTTATGTGTCCTTAAGCCAGTTTCCTTCCTTTGATAATAAATGATAAATTGTTCAGCTTTAAATCTGAAACATTGTTCTGTATAATTTTTCATGAAATAAACAAATAAATCTATGGTTTAAAGTGAAGAATAAAATAGACATTGAATATATAATGCTAATAGAGTTAGATAGACTATCTAACTCTATCTAAATTAAAGTCGTGGGCTAAAAGCACCATTTGTTATTATTGTTGTTATTGCTAAAACATTACTGAACTTTCTTTTATTAGCATAAAAAACACGAGAGATTTTTCAGTTCAGAAAATGTAGACAAAAATACAAATTCATATAAAAGTATGCAAACTAAAGTAAAAGCAACAAAAATAAACCATAATAAAAATTAATTTTTAAAATGAAAATTCGATCAACTAACTATAAAAAGAATAATAGTAAATTTAGTCAATTTGTTATAACAAAAGAATAAACGAAATTAATTTTGAAATTTCTAATGCTGAACAATCCCAGGATTACATCGAGCTATTTTTCTGCGATTATATTTAATTGATCACTAAATAATTTGTCACTAGAGGGTGGCGTTAAGCGTCATGTCTAATTAAGTTTAATTATAATTACAGTAAAGCATCGATTATCGATTCGGGACTGATATTGTTCGGATCATGTATGAAAAAATGTATTAACCTAACCCATGTTGAAAATTTTCTCTGTTGCGTGTCGCTTCGTTTTCAATTTTCGTCAATGTTAAGCTTAACGAAAATTTTTAAAATAATAATCGTGGCTATTGTATCGTTAAAAATTATTGAAAAAAATGAAAAGAAAAAAAATTATATTTTAGAAGTTAATTTAGTATCAAAAACGTTCCGATTTAGCACGACACAGGCCTGACGCACAGTCCTCGATCACGGTCCTCAGAAAAACACCACACAAAACGAGCATAACTCTTTCTTTTTCTTCGGTTTATCACGAGATGTCAGCCGCTTGGGCTGTATTCTCCGACGAGATGAAGCAAAACACATCACTCTCAATGGGGGAAAAAACCCTCGTTCAAATAATGGAGCTTCCTTATGTATCCTCTCGACTTGTGTTGTGCTGAATCGAAACTTTTTATACTACATTAACTTCCAAAATATAAACTTAATATTTTTTAAATATATTTTTCAATATATTTATTTTGTTTGTGCAAAATAAAGAAATAATTTTTAACGATATGGTCGCACCAGTGCTGCCAGCTAAAACACGCACATCAACAAAAGTAATATTGGAATAGCCCAAGACATAGCCAAATATTGCAGCGCCACAACACTAGCGGAAGTTTCCAACTGGAACTGGAACGCTTTCGGTTAACCGAAGTTTCGGTTATAGGTATTCATATAATCGATGTTCTAATCTAATTATATATATACACGCAGGAAAGTAGCCTGATGTAATCAGGTGGTTGTTTGGCTTTACAAGTTTATCGAGTTTCCTAATGTTTTTATGTATAAAATGATTAATGCCTTATATAAAATAATGCCATAAGGTATACACAGAACAATTTATAATTATTACGATTTTTAAATATTAAAAATTATCTGTAAATTTTAAAAATTAATTTCCATTTACCTGCTATTGTATATACAATTGCCGAATATACGAACAAATGCCCAAAAACTACGATACACGTAAGGAAGAATTTAATTCCACAAATAAATCTTGTCTCGTTATTGAAGTCGGTAGAGAAAACTTTTCGATTCGATGAAATTAAGGATACTGAAACGAAGCTCTGTAGAATTTTTCCTAAAGAAAAAGAAGAAACTAATTTCATAAACTGATAGCAATTGCCATTGAATTTATTAGAGTAATAATAATAATAATAATATAATAACAAAAATTACAATAAGTAAGGTAAAAGATGGTAAGAGAATAAGAGAGTAGAAAATAGTTTCTTTTTTTAAACTTTCAAGCAGAAGATATCAGTTGTCTTTGTGCACAAGTAACGATGAAGAAGAATAAACATTTTGTTTAATTCTTTTCAAAGTCTACAGAGTTTTCTCCATATTCCAAAGGAGTTGATTTGACAGTTGACCTTTTTAAGTGTCTGAATTTTCGAGCAGTAATTGTAATACTTTTAACACACCTTTAAATAGGCTAAGAATAATATTGTTGGCTGTTAAGGTTAAGATTATAGCAATGTGGTATGGTAAATTTGTTTTCTTTTACAAGTTTAAACAAAAAAATAAAAATAAAAAGGTGTATGAGCACTTTTAACGAGAGTTGATAATGCGAAGGAAAAAGAGATTACTGTAATTTCATGTATATTTTAATATGGTAAAGTACGGTACAAACTGAAATGCTTTTCTAATTTTGTGTTTTCTACTTATTAGATAAACCATCATGCCAAATACTTATATTAGAAATTCAAACCATTTATTATATTACATATAGCCTCTTCCCAAGTTTCCAGAAAAGGTTTATGTATTTTCCCATATTATGGCGCCATTGTCGGGCCACCATTAATATACTACATGAACTACGAAACTGCACTACAATAGAATTAAGAATATAATTGATTTTGAAATTACTAATAGAAATTCGTTTATAAACCCACTTTGTTAGTAATTGTAAGCATTTTTAAATTTCAAATTATTAAAAGAGCAATTACTACACTTTTACAAAAGTGTAAATTTTTTCTAACGTAAAGAAAAAATTACGCTACATCTATCATGGGGAAATATGTTTTAAACTGATAAAAATTAAAATTAAATTAAGTAAACTTAAGGGTAATTGGCTCCTATTCAAGCGTTACAGACATGAAGGAAACTCGGAAACTTCACGTGGCCAACTTGTCCAGACGAGGCACGCACCCTCAACGGAACTCCCAGTATTCAGGAAATGGTATCGCTTGGCCACTGGTGAAATAACAGTATCTTAAAGGCTACGAAGACATACGCTCTCTTATGGCAGAATTCAAAAACACTTTCTGTAAACTTGTGGATAAGTATTGAATATGTTTTCGTTTAAGTTAAGAAATAAAATATGCTTATCTTCTGCTGAATTACTATTGTTCTATATCTACAAAAGTCGTGAAATGGGATTAAAAAAACACAATGTTTTTTTAAGACATCGTAGAGTTTTCAACTTTTATCTCGCATTGATTTCTTCATGTGGCAACTCTCCTACTCATAATACGTCATAATAACAATAAATTTGTTGTAATTAATTTTGAATTATCTTGGTTTTCAAAATAACACTCTGTAAAGAGATTAGCAATTATAGGATTACAGTAAATTTATTGCAATCCTCCATTATAATTCGTTTTGTAATATTAGATACAGAACGATTTCACGAAACGTACATAGTATGTACTTTTCCTTCGCTGTACCTTCTGCGTTATAATACAAGATATTATAATCGCTATAATAATTCTGTATTCGAGATTAGTAATATCTTTATAATAATAATATAATAATATACTTTTAACTAATTATAATTACAGTTAATGATTTGACATAACTGAAATTTTATAATCCTGCTACAATAATTATAATAATTTTAAGCATCTATATCGTTTCTTAAGCTAAGGATGTTTACAGTAATAACACGTTTAAGTATATGAAAAACTTTAATTTTTCCTGTTCTGTAATTATAATTTATAAATGACATTAAATTAGTATTATGAAAAATTTTAAAATTATAAAACTCTTACATCTATATTTAACTAAATTAAAAAATAATTTTTAAAAATATTCGTAAAATTATAAATATCTTTCTAATGGCGAGGACATACGTCTTGTATCTTTAATGTTAAAAATCACAATATTTTTTATTCAATTATTATCAACTAGCAAATAAGCCCGGCGTTGCTGAGACAAAAAGTAACGATAGCGAAGATTAAGATAATTACATTATAGACAATCTTACCCGTTTTCACAGAATGCAAGAATTAGTCCCCGTTTCCAGACTAATTAGAGAACTTTTAGATGGGTCTAAAGATATGTTCGATTTCTCGCAGAAACGCAAAAAAACGCATCTGCGCCTGTTAATCTTGCACGACGCTTTCTCTTAACACCTTCACTTTTACTTAACACTTCCGTTGTTAACACTTTTATTCTTAACATTTCCATTATTAACACTTTCCCGCGGGGAAATTACGAAATATCCCTTCTTAGTGTACGCATCCTATTAAAACGCAATCAAAACGTAAAACAACCGCATCTAATCTAGTACAGTAGGACAGAGTTTTTCAGGGTAAGCCTTAATCTTCTCCTCCTCCCCCGTGAGGGGAGAATTTTGAAAAACCCCTTCTTAGTGTACGTTTTCGTGACGTAACTAACTGTGCACCAAATTTCAACTTTTAACTCTTAACCGTTTGCGCTCTGCGCTTATTATTATTATTATTATTATTATTATTATTATCAACCCATTTCGATTATATATATAGATTACTTAGATTACCGATTGGTCGGTTCAGTGGAAAAGCGATAAGAGTAGAAATTTGTATAATTTAAATATATTATTTATCTCCAGTAACATTACTGAAATTTTACTGTGAATTATTCGAATTGCAAGATTTTCTAGCATCAAGGATTTCAGTCGCTGTAAAACTGCGTAACTTTGAGATTTTTCATAAGGAATTTCACAGCATTCTAGTGCAAAATATGCAACAATAATTAAAAAAAACTGACCAAATAGAATAATTTTATAATAAATTTTGACAGTATATAAGAGCAAGATGTTAGGGTAGATTATCATAATTTCTATAAACAAAAAAAAAAAAAAAATTCTCTTCCATTAACTCGATACTGTTTTGAAGGGATTCACCAATCATTCCTAATTACAAACTTAACATTATACATTTTTACTATTTAAGTTTTTTACAAATCACGCACAATTAACCACTACTACTCCATTTTTATAGCAATTACATATTATTCGGAATCATACCTTTATCGCAAGGAACATTAACTATATTCAGTATAATGAGAGTCTCCAGAAATGTTCCAATAAAAACCCACGCGATAAAGATGCTGATTGCAGTTCTGAAAATATAAATAAGATTTTCTATTAGAAATACAAATTAGTAAATATGAAATACAGTAGAACCCTGTTAACAAGTTTTTGAAGGGACCACTCTAAAAAAACTTTTTAGGTCGGATCAGCTCTAATGGAGAATGTGTGAAAATAAATAATTTTTAAAAATTTAGTTTATTTCAATATCAAGGTAATATATAGCATAATGTAGTAGAGCATACAAGAATAGTAAGGTGCACTAATTACAGAAGATATTCAAGTGATTGTTGTCGATATGACGTGTCAATGGTTAATAGACAGCAAGGGGCAAGGAACATGTTCAAGACAATAAGACTCCAGCTAATTTAGCGATCACATTTTAAAAAATAAATGTCATCTCTACTCTCAAAATTAAGCCTTTTGCCATTTTATAATAATTTAAAATATGAAAGTTTTATAAATTAATAACAGATGGCGCCTTACGCAGATTTAAATATCGCCGGGGAAGTTAAGCAACTCGTTGCTACAATTTTTATGTGATAAACTTGTGGTGAAAAGAAGGATCACGATTTCTTTTCAACATAAACGTCTTAAATGGATAAAATATCATCGATGAGACTGATTTTTTCGAATTTCTTATACGAAAAAACGTGTTATGCAGGAAAATTTAACACAAACATTATACTGTGAATGCCAAGAGAAAAGAAATTGCACTTCTTATGTGGGAAACCCTCTCAAGCGATAATTTCGTAAACGTGTTCTACTGTAATTTAAAAATTTTTGAACAATTTCGTGAAAGAATATTACTTATTTTATAATTTTGTTTTCTTTTTATACTTTTCTATAAAAATTTTCTTAAAAATTAAAGAGTTGATAAGAAAAGGTAACCAAGCAGCAAAATAAGTCTGCTAATGAAAGATGCCTTCCGGGAATACATTCGACAGGAAACTGGCTATTAGGTGTTTGAAATACGAAAAAAGCAAGAAATTCCACGCTGTGAGCTGTTGCTCACGTGCAAAGAAGTACTAGTGATAGTACTAGATATATTTATTCAGTAACCTAATTATATTGTAATACATGTCTAGTAATTACGCGTTTATTAATATTAATTACAATTGTTAATTTATTTTTTAAAGTATTTAAAAATGAAGTTTTAAACTAATTTTAAATAAATGGTTATTTCTAAAAGATAAGTTTCTAATTTTTATCTTTAATTTACAAACTTCTCGCACTGCTGTCCGAAATAATTAAAAATCATTGTTATAATATCATAATAAATTATACTTATTTATATGAATTGCTCACATAAATAATTATAAATTTCTAAAATATTTATAAATTTATTTCCATCATATTCATATAAAATATATGATAAAAATATCTTAACTGTTGTTATATTTTTATAAAAAGTAAAACGTTTATACTATTAATACTATTAGAACTTACATGCAAATTATTTGAATTGTAGAGAGGCGAATCTTATCGTCTTTCGCTTTGCAGAATTTCACCTCTGCTCTGTAAGAATCTTTCATTGCTGAAATGGCCAATAACGTAAATTATAAGAAGAGTTAACGAACTGATGATAACTTTTTATACGAAACAAAAGTAAAATAGGACTTTGGATTCTTGAAATATTAAGTACAGGTAACCCCCGTATAACACGGTAGTTACGTTCCAAAAAATTGCCTTGTTATGCGAATCCGTGTTATACGAAACAAAGAACTAATACGAAAAGGAGGGTTAGGTTCCAAAAATTAAAAAACATGCTAGTATATTTTCATAATTAAGATAAATATCTTCATTAAAATTTTTTTAAGTGATACATATTAATATAAATTAAACAATGTTTTCTTCGTCATCACTAAAAACACTATTAATTAACCGAGAGCGTTTTCTTTTTGGCAAGTTATCCTTATCCTCTGAGCATTTTTCTGCATTATCTTCAGATCCATGCTTTACCTTTTGCAAAATGTATGTAATTTTAGATTGCTTGCTTCTAGTTAAAAGGTCTTTATAAATTTCCTTATATGGTGCTAAGCACTTATGAAGAATAAAGCAAGTATGGAATAAGGGAAAAACATTCGGCAACATCAGAAGCAGAAGCGTCGCGATCTGGCAACATTGAAACAAGCTTCGAGAAGGACCACGTGTATCGACAGAAGGCGAGAAGAGAAAATTTACATACTTAAGTACTAATAGTTCACGAAAATAATAATTTTCGTGAACTATTAGTACTTAAGTATGTAAAAATTTATTACATTTCCTGTTGTACGAGGGTTTTACCCAATTCTCGAACCGTGTCAAAGTGAATCCGTGCTATAAAAGTAGCGTGTTATACGGGGGATGATACCAATTCTCGAACCGTGTTAGAGTGAATCCGTGCTATAAAAGTACCGTGTTATACGGGGATGGTATCAATTCTCGAACCGTGTTAGAGTGAATCCGTGCTATAGAAGTGCCGTGTTATACGGGGGTTACCTGTATAATTTAAAATCAATTACACATACACTATATTGAAAATTTATGCCATCTTCCTGCATCAACCTAAGCATGCATATATACATACATGTCCCCACGCTCATATGTATTATTCTCCGCAGTTTATATTAGTTTATGTTACTTATGTTATATTAAGAAAAACTGTGTACTGCCTTGTATTGATATTTTGTGTTTCTTGTCTTTACATATACTATTTACGTTTGGGTATTGGTGTTAGTTACTATATGTTAAGTCTTCGTTTAGTATGTATCCTTCATTATTTGTAAATAGGTTTTGATTTAGCTTTCTATTTTTATTATGATTAGTATTGTAAGCTATTTGTACAGTACTTGGAATGGTCAGAGGCTTAATATAACCCTTTAAATGAAATGCTCTAGTCATTCTATAAAACCACCAACTGGAAACTCAGAAAACATAAGTAAGCATAATTGTTTTCACCAAACATTCAACAAAAATATAACAGAACCACTAAAATTACAAAGCGAAATGGTATAAATTAACTATATGAGCTCATTCTGTGACAAGTTTACACTCTTCTATATACACTCTTGTTACTCTCTTAGTGCTTTCCGAGAGGAACCTTATTAACTGCCAACTTTTACAAAAGAAGAAGCGAAAAAACAAAAATTGCAAAAGCCAAACACTCACACTCACATAATTTCAACATTCGAATAACACCTACGGTAACAATGTCACCATTAAACAAAATGTGCAATTTTTCATTATACATTATACTTCACAGAGCCCCAGAAACGAGCTTGCTATCAAAGGGCATTGTCTATAATTGTTTGTATTTTATTGCAACTGCGCTAGAAAGTAAAATATTATTATTAACTTACCCCATTGAAAAATATTTTCTACATCTTCTCGACTACACGTGCTCGGTACACAAATATCCACACGAAATATTACTTTGGAGTAATTGGCCATTTCAAATATTTTACTCAATGGAAACGGTTTCTGTAAATGTTAAATTTATAGCAGATTGCTTTTATAATTGTAAATTTTTATATAAATACTTACGACAATATCTTTCATCATTCTAAGCATATTTTTAGTATTGTTATCTACTGGCACATCATTGAATTCATATGAATTAAATCCAATAGTTAAGGCACAAAATTTTCCGTGCATAGTATTTGATTTTTTATCATTTTTTCTGGTCGTATCGTCTATAACTTCAATATTTAAGCATTGATCGTAATCTCCGTGTAACCACAATTTTCCTCTAATTATTCCAAATGGTTTCCCAAAAGAATCAATCACTGGAAAATTCATTGTAAAATTTTCATTATTAAGCTTTATACTCCATATTAATATTTATAATCAACATTAATAAATATGAAGTAAATTTAATATATATTATTTATAAATAATATACCGTATATTGAGGAAAAAAAATAGATAAAGGTTTTAGCAAATATAAATTTGGCATTTTTGCTTTATTTTAATGATTTTAATGAATAACTTAGAAATAACTGATATTTTACAGAAAATAAATATATATATATATATATAAACTAGCTGCAAGGACCCGCTTCGCTGGATTTTTAAAAAGTAACGATAGTGAAGATAATTACATTATAGCCAATCTTACCCGTTTTCACAGAATGCAAGAATTAGGTCCCCGTTTCCAGACTAATTAGAGACCTGGTCCCGATTCTATTTCTGAACGTCTCCTGTTCACGTCCAGTCAAACGAACTATTTTCAACGTTTCTGGAACGTTTACAATCGTTCTATAATCGAACCAATACAATAGAGCCTCGATTATCCGACCGAATTGGGGACTGGGGTTGGTCGGATAATTGAAAAGTCGGATAACCGAAAAGTATGAAAAAATCCATTATTAGTGTAGTATATTATTATGTCCCATGTAATTAGTGTAGTATATTAGTATATCGCTATTAACCTACTTCGCGTTGAATTTTCATCGATGTTAAGCCTAACAAAATTTTTTTTAAATAATAATCGTCGCTACTGTAATAATCGTCGCTACTGTATCGTTAAAAATTAGGAAATTAAGTCTCGTTTAAATACTGGCTCCCTTCATGGGCGAATAAGTGTTGCCAGCTAAAACACGTAAAAATAATATTAAAATAGCCAAGACATAGCCAAATATTCTAGCGCCACATCACTAGCGTACATTTGAAATTTGCCAACTAGGACGGTCGGTTAACGGAGGTGTCGGTTAATCGGGGGTCGGATAATCGAGGCTCTACTGTATTCTAATTTTATGTTCGAATTAAATTCGAACAAATTCGAACATAACATTCGAAATAGAAAACCACTTTCAACCCCATATCTCCCGCACCCTTATAGCTATCGAGACGCGACCACCATAGTGCACGAATGGAGACTTTGGGGCTACTACCACATACAAACACCATTCACGTGCGATGTGTAGTTTTGGCGGAAAAGTGAAATATAGGGACACACACGTCCATTTTTATATATAGATATAGATATAGATATAGATATTGTAACAACGTTAAACAAAACTAGATTTTTCCTGAAAAACAGATAGTGAAAATTAAAAAGAGTTATTATAACAGTGACGAAAGAAATACGTATCATCTTACGCAAAAGTGGCACATTATAGCTTAATGGGGTCAAAGCATATTTTGAATGAAGAAATCCCATTGGTTAAAACTAGTTTACTCTACTAAAAACGATCTAGCAACGAGTTGCTTAACTTTACTGGCAAAATCTGGTGACGCCATCTGTTATCATATTTTATTTAAAATTTTACATATTTTTAGCTGTAATGAAGAGGCAAAAAGCTTAACATTAAAAGGATAGATTTTATAAAAAGTTTGTAAATGCTAATAACGAGTAAAATCCAGGCCCGCCGTAAGCGGGCGTGCAAGGCGTGCACCGCACGCGGGCGGCACGTCCAGGGGGGCGGCAAATCGAGCTTTCGGTCACGTAATATTCAAAGTCATTGTCATAATACCCACCCTACTTATAGCATAAGAAATGGCTTCACATGGAGAAAAAAATGCGACCGGCGCGCAATTACTATATTCTTATTTATATTATAGCGTTAACAGCGCCTCTATCGGCATTTATCAGAATTAAGATGCAATGCGAAACGTCTATCGGCAGGTTGAACCATCCGGCGGCGCTCCAAAGCCAAGTACCCATAGTCGTGCTCTATGACAGAAGTTGACAGGACTGGCGAAAATAGGGAATCCCCACAGAGCTTCCTTCTCAATTTATACTTGTACGCATTCGAACAGTTCTATCGCATATTAAATTGGATTTATTTTGTTAATAATTCTTCTGACATGGATCTAACTATAATTAATGATATTTTAACATAGTTAGGATTTAAATCTGAAGCTTAAAGACGATTCAAGCAGTGAAACAGACATTGACGGTATTGATTTGTTTAATGAAATCAATACTTTAAAGTTGCATTTTCCAGAAAACCAGTCTAATGATTCACAAACCCCATTACAATATCTTTTTACTAATGATTTAATTTCAACATTTCCAAACACAGCAATAGCACTAAGAATATTACTTACATTGCCGGTTTCAGTTGCATTTGGTGAAAGATCCTTTTCAAAGTTAAAAATTATAAAAAAAAACTATTTAAGGTCAACAATGCACCTGCAAAGACTAAGTAATTAGCTATAGTTTCAATCGAACATGAAATCTTAGACAGCTTGGATACAAGAAAATTCATAGCAGATTTCGCAAACATAAAGTCAAGATGAGTTCAGTTTCTGTAGATAAATATTTATATGGTTTTACACTTAAGTAAACAAAAATAACTTAGTAATAATAAATAGTTTTTCTTTGTAAAGTATTTCTTTTTTTTCACACCCTTATGACACAACACTAAAGAGCCTTTCTGGTAAGCTCAACGTAGGTAGTTGTAGGGGGCCGTCCATAAATACGTAAGGGCGATTTCGGCCATTCTAGACCCCCACCCACCCCTGTGTAAGATACGGTAATATTTTCTTTGATCCCCTCCCTTTCCCTTCCCTATCTTACGTAATATTTTGGCATGATTTTATAGAAAGATTTTAACCAAAAAATTTTTTTTATAAACCCTAAAAACCTTAGGTCCAAAATATATAATTATTAATTAGTTAATTAATATGTACTATTATTTATAAAATACTTTAGGTGATCAAATTTAAAAATGTAAGAATTTAATAAATTCTAATAAAAAATTTATTTTAAGAACTTTATTTTTTAACTAATTAACAATATTACTATTATTATTATTATCATTAATCAACGTCAAAATATTTATTTTTATATTCATTTTAATTTTCACAAAAGACGCAAAAAACTTTGCCAGATCGACTAGCTAGTGCACGTATAAACAGAAACGTCATACAAAATAAAACATAAGAGAATAGAGAGAAACCACATTCCGTTGCAATATTGATTACATCTTCTCTAAGGCCAAAAAAATAAACTACATGCTGCTAAAATGTGCTAGGTGCACCTGGGGACGAAATAATAAAGCTTATATAACTCTATATAATGGGGCAATAAACCAATGCTACTTTACGCGGCCTCTGGCTGTCAGCATGGTAATTTTAGAAGCTACCTGGAGATGTATAACCGGACAGAAACTGCTTCTTGCTTTTGCTCTACAGAAAACCTAGACACCGTCGACCACGTGATCCAGCATTGTCCAATTTACAATCAACATACACTTATTTATATACTGAAATTAGAAATCTTTATGCTTGGTTTCAAGTCCATGTCCACTCGATAAGCTTGTTCAGAAGCCACTGTTTGATGCTTTTTACAATTATGTTCAAAAAATATGGAATAAAAGACTATTTATAATTTATAATTTCTAGTTTTACATTTTAGTTTTCACTAAAAGCCGAATACTAATTTTATGTTTATTTTGTATCGTGTATTTTGGTTTATGTATTCTTAGGTTTAAACATCCATAGAAGTGGTGCACTTATTCTAATAAAAAACAAGAGAAAGAAACCACCACACACACTTCCATGACAAAAAATGTATAGAGCGTGAATCTGCTAGCGTTATTACTCTATCACGTCACACGAGACAACGAGCGTTCTTAATAGAAACCGCCAAATTGAAGCCAAATTCAAAACGCCACCACTCAACGAGATCAAAAAATAAGAATATTGCGTAAGACGAGATCTATTACCAGTGGCGTAGCGTGGGTTTAAGCCGCCCGGGGCGGAGGAAAATTTCGTCACCCCCGTTATTTAGGGTATCTCAATTTAAAAGACTAAAATTCAGTTTCGTCACAGAATAAGTAATGAAAAGTTCCGTGCTAGTGTTGCCACCTTTTTAAAATCGCTGACCCGGACGGCAGGTGAGGTTTGTTCGTTTTACAATGCGAAGAATAACTTGCAGTGCATGCCGGTTCTAAATCAGTCACAGTTAACGACTAGGGAGACTTGGATAGGAGTAACACAAGTGACCTAGCCCTATTGGATATTGGAGGTGTATATGCGTGCGAATGAATCGTACAAGCAAAAAAAAAGAAAAAAAAACAAGAAAAAGATCGACAGGTTGCGCACGATATCCCCGGACGGCGAGTCCGATGGTAACACTATTCCGTGCTCATTTCAATCGGTCCGAAACGTAGGTGGATGAAAATATGAAATAAAATGGTCCAATTCTCACAAGATATTATTATTATTTACTGTGAAATTTTGCCGCCCCTAAAACGTAATTTTAACAAAATTACGTTTTAGGGACGGCAAAATAAAACGACCCCTAAAAATGCCGCCTCTGCCGCCTCCTACGCTATGCTACTGTCTATTGTACCCTTACCCCTGAATAAGAAATCTTAAGAAAACCTTTACCCCACCCACCCCAAAATACCTTACGTAATTTATGGACGGCCCCTAGTTAAACAGGGGGCGGCATAATCGGTATTGCACACGGGCGTTCAAACAGCTAGCGGCGCCCCTGGTAAAATCGTCATTAAATCAGATCCTACTGGTGATAATGTTTGATTTGTTAAGCTGTGACAACACAACGCTTGAGCACTCTGCCTAAGGGAATTCCTTCCGAGAGGTCTTTCTAAAGGTAACAGGCCTCTATTCAGTCGCTACAGACCTGTATAAAACCCGCGAAACTCCACACGGCTAGTCGGTCTGGTCAAAATGCGAACCCACTGTACTCCCATTGCTCAGGGAACAGAACCGATTTGGCACTACTGGTCGGCCCTACTGGTGCGATCAATAGGGCCCACCAGTGTACAATCGAACAATTTATCTCCTCCATCTTTTCGATGTTCAATCACCA